TTCTTTATGAAATGAGACATTGCGTCTGCCTGCTTCTGCTCATCTTTCTCAGCTTTGCGTTATGATTCTGCACACGGAATGGTTTCTTCTTTGTTTCCCTATTATCAAAATTTCACACTCAAATTTAAATTTAAAAATTCAATTCTAAATATTAAATATCTAATCTTTCTTTCAAAATAAACCATGACATCTTCTAATTATAAAATATAGATGAAAAGTAAAAAAAAAGATAATGAAAAACTAATAAAAAAATAACCTTTATCATAACTTTTTTGAGTAGCTGGTGAAGAATTAGCATCTTTCTAACAAAAAATAAGGAAAAGTTTGACCTTGTGATGGGTCAAATTTAAATCCTTGCCAAAAACTCTGTATATAATGACCCCGAAACCTCTCTCTCCCCAAACACCAGCTAAGTCTTACCTCAATCCATCTATACACCACCACTACAGCACCGAAAACAAAAGAAACAGATACCAGCTTCCGGCGAACATTTACCACATAATAATGCCCCTGTAAATAGCCTCCCAGTACATTCAACAGTTTTATGTGAAGTTGTCGTACTCTGTACATATCTTTTTTTTTTTTTTTATGTCGCACTGTACTATTGCATTACCTTTTATAATTGAATTATTGTGAAATTTTAATGTTGATTTTTGTTTGTTACTATCCTCAATCTTGTAAATACTTCCAATGTTTTATTGTATTGTTGTTTTAATATATCACCTGTCAACAAAAGCCAGATTTGTAAAAACATCACAGACAAAATCGCGGATGTTTGGACATGTCATTCATAGACAATATCTAAAAACTTTACTTCTCCAAAATACTCATCAAGATGGAAACAACAGATGCTGTCGCGGAAGAGCGGCAACAAACAGTCCGATTTCCCCGATGAATGAATACAACCTCTAAAGACTTAGCAACAGATAGAACCATCCTCGTGTGGTATTTTGAAGTTCAATCTTCTATGTAAATACTATTCGTACATTTTGAAGAAACAGTTATTAAAAATGTCCCTAAAATTAAATTCAACATTTGAAATGCCTTCTAGTTGAGCGGATTCGGATTTTCTCCAAAGAACGAGAGGGGGGGGGGCAATGCGTACCAGGCACGTAATCGGAAAATTTCAGAGGATGAAAAAGCAAAATGTTTTGCTAATATACACAAAATATATGTTTACAACTGGCATGAATTATACTATGAGTTGTAAACCCAAGCTTAAATGACCAATGTAGACAATTCTGCTTTTTAGCTCGAAGGAACTAATCGAATTTTGAAATTTCAATCGTTAACGAGAAGAACAAGGTCTTGTCCTCAAAGGATCCGATGCAGCACTCCCCAGCAGGGTATGCGGTGAAGTCCCAGAAGCCAACTTAATATTAAAAATCTAATAAAGATTTTCAACGTTTTATGAAAATAACTTAATACGTAGGTTGGGGCAAAAGTCATGGCAACTATTTTGTTTCTTGAAGATACCAGTCCGGTTGAAAAATGTGACATATACAGACGAAAGGACAAGGTCTTAACTACATGTGTGGACAATGAATAGCACTGAAATATCGTAACACACGAATTTACTACGGTAGTATACAGGGCAATATAGCCTTCACCGTGCAAAAGACTGCTAACACAATACACATAAAGTTGACATGACAAACCTGGGCCTAAAGACCCTCAATGTAGTCTCCTGCTACTGTCACCACACGCTGTCAACGATGTGAGAGGCGCTGAATACCATCAGCCTAAGCATTTGCCGCACCATGTGTGAATCGGGTCATCTGTTGGCGCACAGCATTAGCAATGGCCTCTTGTGTTGCAAACCGCCTATTATGTATTGGTTCCTTAATCTTGGGAATGGGATCAAAGTCACAGGCTGAAAGGTCAGGAGAGTATGATGGGTACTCCAATTCTTCCCATCCCCAACGTCGGAGTAGCTGCCGTACACACTCTGCTTATGTGGTCTTGCATTGTCATGTAGAATTATTGCACTGTCCACAAGATCCGGACGTTTATCTCGAACGCCATGCCGCACCAGGAAGTCTCTGTAGTACTGTGCGGTCACTGTTCTGCCATGAGGAACAAAGTGGCAAACAATGACACCCCTGACGTCATACGCGACGATCACCATCAATTTGACTGGGGAAGGTTTCTGACGCTCATTACGCAATATCCTGTGGACGGTGCGTTTCTCGATGCCGCTTGCCCTCTCTAACTCCAGCAATGTCCATCGTCTGTCTTCATCCATGAGGTGCTCGATGACGGCACGTGCCCAGTCGGTCCGCACACTCACCGGTCGTCTCAAACGTTGCTCATCACTGGTTGACACATGTCCTTGCTGAAACTTTCCTACCCACCGTGCTACTGTACGATATGGTAGGGCATTATTCCCAAGAGCTTCTACTAATTCCCTGTGGCATTACATCGCATTTCTCCCTCGGAGAGCGGCTATTTTGATGTAAGCGCGCTGCTCAACACGGGTTACTTCCATCTCGCACGGCACTCACCAACTGACTGATTTCAGAGCCCTCGCTACCACAGAGCCAGCTATCAAAGAGCCATCTGCTGTTCTGCATACACACTATGCCTGCAGAACTTCCATACGACACATATACGTTTTGTGATCCGTTCACAAATCTACAAGAAAAACAAAACAAAACAAAACAAACAAACAAAAAAACCTCTGTGTCGTTGGCTGTTCGGCGCCCCTCTCTAGCTCAGCGCCCGCCTGCGAAGAAGGCCTTGCAAGCCCGCATCCGCCGGCCCTGATTAATAACATGAAAATAATAGACAAATTTAATGAGTATTCTCATAATTACATAAGCTATGCTTTTCTTTTTTTATGCATATTTTATGCTTTTTAAAGTGTGTCACTGATTATGGAATTAACAATTTAAAAGATAAGTAATTAGGAGAAAAGCCGTGCATATACAAACGGATTTAAAAAATTATTCAACTTAAATTTAAGAAATAAAATTCTATTATATAACAGTGATAATACACGATCATCACGAAATACGACAAATTTGGCGAACTTTTGGTGACGAACAATTTGTAAACAAATCCGAACTGCAAGAACGTCGTAAAATACTGTCAACTCTGAAATTTCCACGATTATATATTTAATGAATATATAAACATTTTAAAAATGATTCAGGCAGTTATATTACAACAAAACAGCAATAATTAAATCTACCCCTATTTCCACCGTCTATGACTTCACAGTGAGAGCCATCACCATATTGAAAGTTATCCGTTATCCGTGATCCTTCAGAAGCAGAACTTTCGTCTGATTGGTTGAACGTTCGAGGAACACGTCTCCAGCCGGAACATTTTCGGACAAGTTTTAAAATGTTCCTCGTAGCTGGAACATGTTCCTCCTAGCTAGACGAAACATTCCTCGGAAGCCTCCTGCTTAAAGTAGTGCTACTATAATCTCGTTTCTCGGAATTGTCCTGCGTAGCCGCGCGCGTCCCTCGAAGTTATAGTCTTATGTGGATTGCTTCTCTGCCTCAACACTTACGGATAGCTTACACTGTGTTTGTAATAGTACCTTGTGAAAAGAACTTTTAATGAAAGCTGCGTTCCTTTCTAACACGTGTGTATTCGAGGAATAATAGCATCGTTAGCTTAAACTGTGAGGCATTCAATCTGAATTTTATCCTTCCCAGAAATATCAAGTACTTACATATGAACAATTTAGACTTTCAATAATATTTTGGTTCAATGTTTTGTAATGATGATCCTACACAGAAATGTACACCATCTCCATAAAAGTCCTTTTGCGGTCTCTATTTTCGTAGCTGTTGGTTACAATGTTACAGACACATACAAGATCTTTCAAATGACGGAAATATCGATATTATGGCAATTCAAAACGTGAATTTTGTAAATTGTTATGAAATATAATTTTTATATTCTTCCCCAGTTCCTATAGCTATATTTAGTAAAATTCATAGTCATTCTAAAAAATGAAACATAAAATGTTTGACTCCAGCGCAGCAAAAATTAATCGAGACATTTAATTTACAATGGTGATAGATCATACTTCTTGAAAGTTCAGGGGTCGTACAAAAATTGAAGAGCAGATATATGAATTGATTTGTAACAAAAAATTAAATATTATTTTAGTAAATAGTTTCTGATGTTAACAGATTATGTGACGAGTACTGATATTCAAACTGCCGTGAAAAGGTTTGACCAATACAAATTTTTTCAAGGAAGATCTTTTTCACAGACTGATAGAATTTGTGTTCTAGGAAATAGAGTCAGGATTCAACTATTGGCATATAAACTACTCGTAAATATTTGCATATATTAAAATTAGAATATGTTTTCAGTCCAATGATTTCTTTTGCATGACTGTCAGATTATGATTCCGAGTAATAAAAATGCATGTCATTATCACTGACGTATTTTTAGAATTTGAAAACTCGCAAATTATTTACTTAAGATTGTTGTTGGCAAATGAGACAGAATAGTGAATTAAATTATAAATATGAATTAAAGTGTGTTACACTTTAGTAAATAAAAAAAAATATCATCGAGAATGTGTCTGAATGACATTAAATGGAAAGAAAAAGGAATCTCGAAGTTATTTTTTAATTAACTGCTTAAGAAGAGCAATAAATTTGATCTTCTGGCTCTGTAAGTTCAGTAAAAATCCCAAATTTTGAAGTCAAATATATCGGTCCTTATATTAGTCGTATAGTTTAACCTTTTTTTTTTTTCCTTTAGAATGAGGATAATCTTTTGCTAAATATAATCATAGGGACCCGAAGATCATATAAAAGGTTAGATTTCTTAATTCTTGCAAAACTGATTCTTGAAATTAAATACAAAACGAATATCCTTGTCATTTAAAACACGTTTATGACTGGAAATGTATGTCTAGGCAGTAGGTGAAGGCACTGTTGAAAGTGGGATGTGTATAAATTTAAAAATTTCATTGTTATTATCAAACTTATGTCTTTCATCCCAGAAATGTTATATAAAAGACTTACATAAGTATAAGACAAAGAATGAAAGTCGATGGTTCCTCGATGAAAGTCTCCGAATTTCCGATTCCATTCGATTCGCACAGTGCCATCGTGTATGGTACGGAATATCACTTCGGGTTTATCCGGCAAGAGAATGACTTTACTGAGTTTGATTATCTTTCCACTAGCATTGAATTCGAAAGAGTAATGTCCACTGGGTACTAAGCCTCTTATTTCGTAAACATCACCTAATATAAAAATCAAAGAATAAGAACAAATTACCGTATTTCCTAATAGACATATATATATATATATAATATGCATATTTCCTAATATACATTTATATGTAATGATTTCTCTGTAGATAACTTAATGTTAGAAGATAGCTTGAAACTGTTGCATAGATGGAACGATAGACTTGCAGAAAAACGTGCCGAGTTCAACACATAATTCATCCCTGGACATTTTTCATACATATCTTCAATCCCGTATCATTAATTTCTTAGGATATCTATTTTTAATTTTCACAAGACTGCGTCCTTTGAACCCCTCACAATGTTATATATGCTTATCACATCTTTAAACAATAGGTGAAAGCAGGAAAGCCATTATAGTTCGTCTGCCTCATCCGCCACCATGAGCGCAAACACACTCCCCCCTACAGCATATCTCTTTCCGTATCCGTATCCTGTTCCTATTTTATCAGTATACGGCCTTAAAAAAAAGGCCTTTGCTGATACATGGTTTCATACCTTGAAAAGGAAGCGTGATAAGAGGCATATACATAAATATGGAAGATCCTGCATGCACTCCTAGTGCAGTTGAAGAAGAGAAGACTTTCACGTGATCATTCACGTTGCAGCAAATAATAACGTCTCTTTTGGATTTGTCTATGTGTTTTGGCAGAATGCCAGCTAGGGTTGCGTTTGAGACGGCCGAGCTATAATTATGTGCTTGCAAAGCGACAGCAGGGAGAATGGTGACTGCATATTGAACAGCTGGGGTATTTATGAACTTTGTTTCAGTTTTGAATGGTGATTGGACAAGAGTGATACAGCATTGCGATAATTGCAGCTAAAGTAATGATGAAGGTGACTCAGTACAGATTCTTTAAAAGGCACGTAGCTAAATTACAAGGGCTGTTGCCAAATTAAGTTAGTAATTTGTTACTAATTTTGTTTCATATTTTATATTTTATACACGCACGCACATAAGGGCACATACAGTGGTGGCCAAAATTGTGGACACTTTTCGAAATTTTTATGTTTTTGAACTTTGTATGCTTATAGAAAATGTTACGTTTCGCAAAATGCATACTTGTGTGTATCATTTTAAAGAGAATTTATTACTGAATTCAATACAAAACACAAAATTCAATTATTTGCAGTACAAAAAAGTTATATGTACTTTAATATAAATAAAAAAACAGTTATAAAGTGGTTGTAATGTCTAGCTTTCCTGGCCAATCACTGTTCTTGTTCTGAGAACCAATCAAATGTTAGTAACTGCCAGTAGAAGCTGACATCATGTTTACACTTGAAACAATTCATTATTTTGCTTTGTTCTGTAGAAGAGGACCTGTGTCTTATACACTGCAATTACAAGTAGGAATTTTTGTAAAAATTTTTAATATTTAGTCAAGAAGCAATGACATCAAATAAAAGAGTAGATTGGACACCTAGAAAGAGATGTAATATTATTGTGTTATGAGAAAGTGGTCTTTCCTATGCTGAAACTGCAAGACAGGTGGGTGGTTCAGTGACTACATCTGGGAGTCCGAAAATTTTGTGTACGATATCAGGAGACAAATTCAATAAAAAACAAAGAAGGAAAAGGCCGAAAAAGGTGCACCACATCTATTGATGACAGAAGAATAAAAAGACTATGACTCCAAGATAGAAAAATGTCATCAGCGGCCATCAGAAGTGATCTGAATGATGCTGGTGTTTCTGTCAGTTCAAGAACAATCTTGAAAAGATTAACAGATGTTGGACTGAGAGGTAGAATTCCACGAAAAAAGCCTTATCTTTTTCGGCCTTTTCCTTCTTTGTTTTTTATCGAATTTGTCTCCTGATATCGTACACAAAACTTTCGGACTCCAGATGTAGTCACTGAACCACCCACCTGTCTTGCAATTTCAGCATAGGAAAGACCACTTTCTCATGACACAATAATATTACATCTCTTTCTAGGTGTCCAATCTACTCTTTTATTTAATGTCATTGCTTCTTGACTAAATATTAAAAATTTTTACAAAAATTCCTACTTGTAATTGCGGTGTATAAGACGCAGGTCCTCCTTCTACAGAACAAAGCAAAATAATGAATTGTTATATGTTAATAATAATAATCACATAATTGTTGTTAATAATGCATTATATGGAGTGATGAAACTAAGATATCGTTATTCGGTAGTGATGGGCAAAAATATGTAAGATGTAGAATTGGAGAAGAGCTACATCCTGACTGCATTCAAGCAACTGTGAAGAACCCAGTTAGAGTTATGATTTGGTCATGCATGTCAGCAGATGGTATTGGTCGCCTTCATGTCATCGATGGGTCACTGAATGCCAGAAAATACATTGACATTATTCTAGAACCAAAACTTCTACCTTCCATCAGAGATCTCTTTCCCAACAATGCTTCGTTTATTTTTCAACAGGATTCTGCTCCTTGCCACACTGCCAAAATATCGAAAGAATGGTTTCGTACAAAGAGCATTAAATTGTTGTTATGGCTAGGAAACAGTCCTGACCTCAATCCTATCGAAAATTTGTGGCACCGTTTGAAAACTCTTGTCCGAATGAGGCGCCCATCAAATAAAAGGGAACTAATTGAGGCTATAATTGTTTCCTGGCATCATGTAATAAAAAAAGAAGAGCTTAAAACTCTTGTCAGCTCAATGAAACGTCGATGTGAAGCTGTAATCAAAAATAAAGGGTACCCTACTAAGTACCGATAACTCACTGCAATCATCACTATCTAATGTATATCGATATATTTTTGTATTGTAAATAATTGAATTTTGTGTTTTGTATTGAATTCAGTAATAAATTCTCTTTATATGTACAAGTTTGCATTTTGTGAAACGTAACGTTTTCTATAAGCATACAAAGTTCAAAAACATAAAAATTTCCAAAAGTGTCCACAATTTTGGCCACCACTGTATGTATTACCAATCACAAACACAGTTGGAATGCGAAGAAAAATTCAAAGTCTAAAAATACTAATGTGTAAGGTGATTACAGCTAGAAAATAATCAAAGTTGACCTTTTACAAATTGCAACGCTTGCTAGATCATTCGCCTTATCAGTTAACTGATTGCATGTTGGACCCTTCGTCTTCTGGGCGTTTGCACACGCACCGACTGCGAGTTTGAGATTCTGCCCGTGAACCGGCTGTTTCATATTACTGATGAGTGACTAAGGAATGAGAAGTATATGGGCACTATGAAAACAGGAAGAAGAAAGAAGAACTTAAACAGGAAAGAACTCCTAGGAGATTATTCCTAAAATTTGTCAGTTGTTACTCAAAACCAACAATGGAGATTCTGATCATGAAACTTTGAAAGGGGAGGTCATGAAAAAGGAGAATGCTTTTTTTATTCTTATACAAAAAAATTTTCTCTTTCTTTATTTCTTATATAAAAAAGATCAACTAAATGAAATTCTGGAAGAGCTCAAAGCCTTAAATAATTTAGAATATGAAAAGAATGGTTAAATTGAAAATAAAACACTCAACAAGGACGGTGATTGAAGATGCCCAAGAAAAACAGTGTAAATGTTAAAAAGAAATGAGACAGAATTAGTCAGAAAAGCCTAAAAATATAACCTGCTTCAGAGAGATTTCGAAGGAAAAAAAAAATGAAAGGGGGAACGATAGAGAAGAGACTCAATACGCACCTAATAAAGACACCTGCCGCTTTATGGAGTTGTGGCAGAATATTTCAATTGGATGGATACAGCCGCGTGACTACTGCACTCCATATTGTAATCATCAGAACAGAAATTATCTGGGTATGCCTATGACCTCATTTTTTAGCGGTTTCTGCGAAACATTTGAAGTGGTGATGAGAAACAACGAGACTAAAACAGAGCTGAAGGAGAGATGGAACATCTTCAGGAAATTTAACAAGACATCTAGAAGAAAAAGAAGTTCAATTCTGCTTGTATTTACCGAAAAACGAAAAGTCTCATTTGTATATTCAAATGTTTAGCCAAGTACACTGCGAGGGGAAAAAAAAAAAAAAAAAAAGACTGTTCTATATCTCCCGTTCTACTGGGGCGATTAACGAAATTCAAATTGCGTTTTTCATGTCTCGAAAGCGCGACTTCCCACGATCGATTCTACAACTCAAATTATGCCTAAATATTAAATTTTTTGTAAAATTTAGTGAGAAATTTGCGGAGAAATTCAAAAACTTATGAAAAGTTAAATTCTTTGATTAAAAATTAATTAAATGATTGGGCTTCGAAAAAAAAAATTGTAACAAATTTTATTGTTCCAATCATAGATACTCTAAAGTGGAAACGAAGATTGCCATTTAAATTTTTTCTTAAAGCAGGGTCTCTGGAGGAAAATGAAAGAGTTGAGAATTAAAAATGAACAAAGCAAAAATGAAGATTACATCCCTTGTTGTTCCATGGATCTACATGCCTATGGAATATGTCGATAATGACTGGCTTCTTACATGAGAGAACTTAGCAGCTGATACAGGGTTAAAAAATTTAGAATTCCTTTTTTGACGAATGGTTTACATATGATGCCATGACGATACAAATGTGAAATGGGAAAATACGCAGGATCTGTTTAAAAGTAGGACTGGAAAACTGATTTACATTAAAAGGTATAGCAAATGTGTTAGATGCTGGCAAAGCATTTATGCAACCAGTACGTAATATAAGAGGTTAAAAACGTCGTTTAGTAGTTTCTAGTTTCACTGGTAATTTAAATATTAATAGTTATCAAGTTAAAAAAGTAAAAAATTGTATCAAACCATATATTGTTAAAATTAAAATAAGGCTTCAAAATTCCATATACTTTTTAAATCTCTAAATTTGTTGCCTTGATATATGCAATTAATTGTTAAATTTTTTTTCCAGTATTGGCAATGGCAATTTGCTAGCCTGCTCATTTGATTAATGTCGTGACAGCAAAGTATAGCGCAAACATAAAAAATAAGCTGCAGATTTATAAAGGCTTCGGAAAGTATAATTATTTAATGACCCCAAATCCAAAGCTTTTCCCTTATATAGTTCCGTGATTTTGGTCACATAGACACGTTGGACAATGGGCTACTGCTTGGTACTCTTCTCACCGTTCTTTCTCTAAACGAAAACATTTATTTTATAGCTTCTAAGAAAAGGGATGCTTACCTTTTTTCCATGTAGTGCGCACAATACTAGAATTGAGTTTTTCCGCATATTTCACTTGAATAAACGAAGCATTGCTGGGGACGCTGACTTTGAATCTGACAGAGCTTTCTGTCACTTTTTTTACTTCAACGTTAAAAACGGTATCAGTAACATTGTCTGTTTCGTTGTTTCCTACAAACATAAACCAGAAAAAAATGTATTTGCATAATAAATAAATGACAAGAAAAGAAACAATTTTTAGATACAGTTTGCCGACAAATTCCTCATAAAGAATTTTTATTTATGCAAGGAATAAAATAATATGCGTATTTACTTCATTCCAACCAATGACCTTCTCTGTACTTCTAAGCTTCGTCCGCATGGAGGTTTTTAAAATCACAATTGGTCTAAAGTGAGCATCGTTGCTAGGCAACCAGACCTTGCTACGTCAGAAAAGCGGGTTTAAGGATTTTGCTTAAATGTTCTAACTTTTCAACTTTATATTATTTGGTATAAAGGCCGACCAATCACAGCGAAGCAAACAGCTGAGGGTTTCGTTGAGTAGCTACACATTTACGCATGCGCAACTTTCTCTGCCCTGATTGGCTGTGACTTCAACCTTGCTCTACCGTATCAAACATATTTCTGTAAAAAAAGGCGGCCAATTTTAATTTGCATGGGGGGGGGCGTGGGTCTAGGCTCGGCACTGCGTGTCTTCTTACGTACGCGTAGATAGATTACTTGTTAGCAACTGCCTGAAGTACTCGAAATGCGCCAGTGTTCTTATAATTCATCAAGAAATGTTCAATGAACAATAGCAATTGCCGGGCTCAGTCGATCTTTCTCGTTACTCTTACAAATACTTCAGTAGATTAATGTTACACGGTTATTTGAATGTCGATGACCCATTCATTTAGTAAGATATTGCAGACATCCGAACTAGTTCATTATTTGTTAAGCATACCGTATTTTACGCAGTTCCAAGGGGTGTCTCAACTGTATAACTCAACATTTAATTTAAGGAGATCTTAACAGGCTTGGCAACTGCACGAAGCTAGGGAAAGAAACACAGCTTTTCCGTCGTCTCCTAAATAGGCGAAGGAGCTACCAATGATAATGATGGTAAAGCTTGAAATATTATGAGTAGCGCAATTGTGATTTTGCCTTTATTTTCGATTGAGGATAATCTTTCCACCTTTTTTCTGAAATATATGTACAAGGTGTGTTCGAAAAGTTCGGTGAATTTTACTATAAAAAAAGGAAACAAGAGAAACAAGCAAAATAGCTTTACTGGTCTTCAAAGTATTCGCCATTAGCAACAATACACTTTTGACATCGGGTGTACAATTGTTGGAAACTGTCTGCAAACGCTTCTTTCGGTATGGCTCGAAGCACCGTTGTCACACGTTGTTGGATCTCAGTAATGTCGGAAAAGTGATGGCTTTTCAGAACTCCTTTGAGGCGGGGAAACAGGAAGCAAGTCCGCGGGAGCCAGATCTGGAAAATATGGAGGGTCATCCAAAACTGGAACCTGGTGCCTGTCCGTTTGGGTTACACGGATCGCAGTGTTAAACCACGTTGTCATGGAAACACACTTTACTCACTGCTTCCTAACCGTAAACTTTCACTAACATGGCGTCATTTGTCGTCCATCGTCGTTTCAAAACTGCCTAACTTGAAACAAAACTTTATGTTCATGCGTTGCTCCATGTCACACTGACAGTCTTTCTCACACTGACCATGTTAAACTGCTCATGGCGTGCGCTTCCTCTTATCTGTCGTAAAATGGCTGTTAGATGGCTCTAGATGACATTTCTCTCACTGCGTCTGCGTGAGTGCAAGATCCTAACCGGCGCGGTTTTTTAATTATGAGACCAATCACCGAAATTTTCGAACACACCTTGTAGTGAAAATTTAGCTACCAAGATTCTGCAGATAGTAATAAAAAAAAATATCGCAAAGGGATTTTCGATCCCCAAATGGCGAATGTTTCGACAAATTTGAGCAGAATTTAAATATTTCGTAAAATCTTCAAAACGCCACTGAATTGCAAATACGGTGCAGTGCATATTTTCATATTCATATTTACATCGATGTAGCAGTTAATTTTTTGAAACATACGTATTTTTAAATGAGCAAATGCATTTGCAGTTTTTTTTTTTTTTTTGTGTATTGCTTTATTTCTGATAATTTTATTATTTTACCGGAAACGCTTCCTAGGTTTTTCAGTAAAACTGAAATCTGCGTTTAATTGAATTTTGATGTAATTTTAGGGAAAATATCGTGTTGAAACTACAGGGATGGCCTACGAGCACCTGAGCGGTAAAAGCCCCTAAACACCGGTAGTTCTGTCCGGGGTTCGAGTCTCGGCGAACGGACCGGATGCATGGGAGTTTTCATGGTTTTTTCCATCTGTAACGTCGATACAAGCCAGTTTTCCTAAAAAAGTCCTTTCCGTGTAGTTTCAAATGACAGAATGATCCAATTTTTTTTTTTTTTTATCAGCCCAGGCTAATTATCATCTTTGATACCGAGGGACCCGCTTTCGAATCCCGCAGAATTTGCATGGGTGTAAATTGTCTGTCCATTCACAGCGGGTAACGGTGGTCCATCTATTTAGGCACCTCCATAATAAAGTGGCTACCGTTGTCGGTCTTAGTAGCAGCCAACGCCTATAATGGCTAGTGTCCGCCATTTGGGGGGTGGGACTATCATTTTGGATTCACCGCGCTTTAAGAATATTCTCCTCCAGTGCCTTAGGTGAAGAAAATGCTGATATAAATCTCTGCCATGCGAAATATTGGAGTTGGTTTTTTAAGTTAATTATAATCATATTCTTAACACTTAATTTATGCTACTTTATATATATATATATTTTCTTAAATACAAACTGCTGTTAATTTTTTATAAATATTTTTGCTTTTGCGAGCTGCAAGTAACTAGTTTTCAATCTAACTTGCAAAATTGACTGCTATAGTCTAAAAATTAGAGAGATATGTGATTAGACTTTTAATTTTAAGCTGTGAATGTATTTTTTAATTTTAAGCTGTGACTGTGAATGTATTTATTCTTTGGAGGCATAAATACATTCACAGTCTTTTAAGATTACAGAGCCATGGATTTGAAATCAACACATTTTGAGCAAGAGGATATTTATTTTTGAAATGCGAATTTAATATATACTATCTTCATTTTTTGTATTATCCAGACAGTTATACAGAAATTATGTATTGTCAGTATTATGTATTTATACAGAAATTATGTATTATGTATTGTGTGCAGAAATTATGTATCATGTATTGTATGTAGAAATTATGTATTGTCTTCATTTACTCGACAAAAATTTATCATAGGCTACTGTAACGTTTACCGAACTTCAGTGATGGAAATACTAAGACCAGTTGTCCTTTTAAATGGTTATTTTGGATATTAGTACAAGTTTTCTTGGTTAACTAAAAGATAAAAGATGTATATGGGAAGTTATGCCAATTTTTTTAAAAGTGGTTACTCGAATGCATTTTTGCGAAGAATGCCTTTTTTTCTTGAAGAGCCAGAATAGCGCACATTTATCTCCTAATAAATCCGACGCTGTACATTCCGAAGGCAACTAGGTTCACCAGCTGCCGAAAGGTAAAATCGCTGAAAGCTGGTAGCTTGGTCCGAGGTTCGAATCCCGCGAACGGGCAAGCTGCATGGGCATTTTCGGGGTTTTCCCATGTGTGACGGGTTTTCCCCATGTGTAACGTGTATACGAGCCAGTTTCCCTTAGAAAGTCCTCCACGAAGGCATCCCTCCCCTTAGGCAGACAGCCCTCGAGGCTTTGCCATAATCACACACACCCATGTGTGACGTGTATAGGAAACAGTTTCCCTCTGAAAGTCCTCCACAAAGGTATCCCTCCTCTTACGCAGATAGCCCTAGTGTGCTTTGCCATAATTTCAATAAACCAAACCAACCAACCGCCAGCCGAAGGCAGCTATCCGCAGAAAAGAAGCCAAATAAAACTGGAGATGAAATAAGCCCCACCGAAAAAAAAACATAAAGTTTCAGATTTTAAATTAAGTCCAAAGAAGTGTTTTCTTAACATTTTCTCTGTCACATTTATTAAATATCACGTTCTTCGCACTTAAACCATAAAATTCAATTCAAGAGCGCCCACCAGCGGCCGAGCGGTAAAATCGCTGAACACTGTTAGCTCGGTCCGAGGTTCGAATCCCGCGAACGGGCTGGCTGCATGGGCGTTTTCGTGGTTTTCCCCATGTGTAACGTGTATACGAGCCAGTTTCCCTTAGAAAGTCCTCCACGAAGGCATCCCTCCTCTTAGGCAGATAGCCCTCGAGGCTTTGCCATAATCACACACACACACAATTCAAGAGCAATATCGCAAAATTGCAATTTTGCGATATTGCAATTTCAAGAGCAATATCGCGCTCTTGCTCACCATTGCTCACTTTGAAACCCTTGAAATTATTAATCAAAAATTTGTTAAAGTTTTACAAAATATGAAATCGATAATAAAACAAATTCCAAATTTCAAATTTGGGCTTCCACATGCCTATATTCGCAGTAAGATTACGTCATTCAAAATTCGATTACTCTAATGTACCGTTGTTTTATCACAATGCAAGAAATATACATACATTTATGCAGAGTCTTCCTTATTTAATTTCTTTTACTATAGTACAGGGCGATAATATTTGGTGGCAACAATTTGAAAAGTAAAACAACGCTTTTAGTGAATCGACGCAAAATGCCAAAACGAAATCAATAGTCCTTCTGGGAAAATTGCCACTTTGGACTAAAAAGCACTAAAGGTTTGTATATTTAGCCATCACTTAGTTTAAAGCAAGCGTTATTTAAAAGAATCGGCTACAAAATTACTTACCAGAATTCGGCAAGATGATAATTTCGAAGACCTTGCTACTTAAGCCATGTGTATTCTTAGCTGAACATGTGTATTCACCGGAATCATTTCGAATCGTCGTTTTGAAGACTAGAAACGATGCGTTCGTAGTGTAAGTTGTGAAAATTCTTTGATGTGGATCAGACAATATTTCGTACGTATTCTAACGGGAGTAAAAGAAAATGTGTATTAAGAAATAATTTTTATGCATTTTTTATATATTAACCTTCAAGCATAAAAGAATTACATAGAAGAATTAGAATCATCTACACAACAAATATACTGAACGATTCTTTGCGCAAAATTGTATCGAAACGTCACTTTTCGATTGTACGTATTGTTCACTTTTCGATTGTATATTGAATTTCGTCTTATTTTAGTGATAAAATCTCCGAAAGTGTCTTTGCCTTATTTCCGGTATTGTATGTGCTTGATGAAGATCGACATGAATATCTACAGACGCATCGTATATCAATAAACAGTTTCCACAGAACGATATCATCAGTACCTTTACGTAAAAGGGATACAACACTGCTTGTGTCTCATATCATTGCCGATTGACTGTGGACTTCGAATATGAACTCACTGTTCTCGTGCCCAATCTTGCTAAGAATTTCCTAGTAGGATATACATGTCGCAATGTATTTGCAAGCTACAGGGTTATTATTACTGCATATTAACACGTACTGTGGTTACATGCATAAAAGCAATATCAGCTTAACTGCTATTGTGTTTCTATCTTTCAATATGCTTGTTTTGTTGTAGATCTAATCTTCCGTATATTTTTATTCGCGATAATAGCCTTCTTAACAGCGTTTGAGTTTACTGCAGATAGAAGTGGATCATGAAAACTAAACAAGTTAATCGTAATTAATTTTCATTTTCTTTCAAGGGACGGCAAAATGTACAATGAAAAATAAAATATACAATAAATCTTAATAATAAATCCTTTTGAAAACGTAGAATAAATGTACTTGATATTTTGATCAGGATCTGGCTGAACATGATCAGCATCAGCTGGTACAAATCATTTCATGCCTAAGGAATACAACAATGCCTTAAATAACATTGGTTGGTCATCGGTCAAGGGAAAAAAGTCTGATATATTCGCCCCTGCAGTCGAAAAGAGATCAAAACCAGACAATGGCTAACATTGCTCAGCAGTTATGCACTACAAACGGACGACAGGTGTCCCGGTTTACTGTGATCAGACGACTTCATAAAGGTGGTCTGAACGCTGCATAGCACTCACAGCATCCCGACGGTGACACCGTTTGCAGTAGTTAAGAGAACACGAAGACTGGACACCTCAATGGAGTCATGTCCTCGTTACCGATGAGAGTCATTTCAGTCTGACAAACGATATGGAGAATAGGGATACGTTTACATCGCACTAACACCAGGGAAAGAGACAGTTGAGGTAGTCCTGGCGTGCATGTATAGGGAGGCATTATTAAGAACCGACGGACGAAGCTCCACATTTCCAGCAGAGGTTCACTTTTACCGAGGATCATTATTGTGATGAAGTTATCCTCTCTTACTTGAGTCTTTTAAAGGTGCCATTGGTCTCAAAATTGTTTTTATGGATGGCCGTTGTTGAGGAGCGCCTGGAAAGTGAACATATACACAGAATGGAATGGCTAGCGTGCTTCCCTAATTTAAATCCCACTGAACATTGTGAGATACTTGGTGACACTGTCTTACCCCCCGGAGAACACCGGACAAATGAAAAATGCTCCTTGAAGAGTGGGAAGATTTACCCGAAGAACTGTTACATAATCTAGTGTTGAGTATCGACAGACTGTGCGAAAGCATGCTAAGGTTACTTGGTTTGTTGCTCTTTCTTCTGGCCAGACAGTTTTTTATATCAATTCCATTCTATCAACAAAGCCTTTTGCTATTCGTTTCATACTGTGTGCGTATGTTTTCGCAACTAGTAAATTTTACTAGTAATTTATGTACTATATTGTTGGTCTGCAATTTTATGTCAGCCAGTTAATCTTTTGCGGAATAATGGTCAAAATCAGAAAATTTGCTTAAGTTTTCCACACTAGTGTATATAGAACGCATTGAAATGACATAATTTGTTTTCAGTGGGTTCAATATTTAAAAATTTTAAATCTTTTTAAAAATGTTTTTTACTTTGAATTTGAGCTATTTGCGGAGTTCTTGATTAAGAAATGATGTCACAGTACTCTTTGAAGAAATATATTTTAAATATATGTATTGACCTGCAAACTGCATTTTATAGTCTTGCATTTTTATTATCAAGAAAACAGAAAACAGGGGATTTCAAGGTCTCTAAAACAAATGAACATGACTATACCTTATCGTACCAAATGTAGTCTAGAGGTGGATCGCCATCAGCAAGGCACAACACATCTAAGCGTTCACCTTCTGAAGCTGAATATACTTCATAGCCTTTCTCGAATTTTGGAACACCTATAAATTCACATTTCAGGTGTAATAAAAAATTTAACCTCATACATAAACGCGCTAAAATAGCTCTCTTTTGTTATACATTTAAGGGATCCAATTCATTCCAACTAAAAGCTATTTTGGATGACATTTGTTTTCTTATAACCAATGGTAATTATTATCTGCAATTAAAGATTAAAATATGCAGTAATGTTTAACAAAAGCATCGTTAAAGTTTAAACTGAACTTTATCAAAGTGTCGCTATTATGTGAACACTGAAAAGAGGTTGAAGTGCTTAATTGAAAGCAAAAGAAGTGGGACTTCGAATAGGCTTTTCCAAGCCTTCATTAGCGACGCAGTAGAAGGTACGCTATTGATAAGGTTGCTATGTAGAATTTCTCGAAAGTTTTAGGAATTTTTTACATAGAAGTCTGGTTAATTTTAACATTATACATTCGTTTCTTCGTATTTAAAGGAGCGCGTTTTAAAACTTCCTTTTCTTAAATGTTGTTAAATTTAAAGAAGATCCTTTATTTCGTTCCTTCTAAAATTAGAAAACAATCTTACTAGCAATATGAACAATGCATTTTCAGGCTATTTACAATTAGATTAGAATTTCTAATAGTTTAAAGTTGATGTTTAACAATTCTATTTTCCAGTATTATAACGTACTTTTAGTTAAAGTTAAAAACGATTTATTAGTATTCTTCAAAACGTAAATTAGTGCGAAATAAAATTTTAACATAAGGATACAATTTCTAGAGTAAAATTTAAATGATTCCATCGGAATTCCCTAAATCATGTGCCAAGCGTGTGTCCTCTTCAAACTTTTAAAGTGAAAATATGATATTTAACAAAAGACAGTAGGCATTAAAAATGTTAGTATATTTTTTAGAGGTAACAAGATTATTGATAAATCTGCCGCTCGAAAAGCGGTTTTATTGTTATTTATAAATACCAGAATATTGTAGTTATTTTTGTTTCTTAAATGACAATTACGTAAAAAAGTAAGCAAAACATACAACAGTACAAGAGATTTCTGTAAGAAGGTTCTGATTAAAATGTAAAAGTATATCACACATCACCTTTGATACGGAGAAAATAGACGCTTGCTTATTAAGCATTTTATACAAGCCTTTGGGATAAATAAGCATACATCAAAGAGGTAATCAATTTCGTGCGCAAGAATTGCGGAATGCACTATTGCAACAGTTCCTGGGTAAATTCCTTATAATGAGATGGGAAGAGAATATTACTAATACAGTGCAATAAATTCTGTAAATTAGTACTAACACATTACAATAAATTCTGTAAAGCTTACTGTGTATTAGTTAAAAAAAAATCTGAAAGGTTTCAGATTTTAAATTACGTCCAAATGGGCGTCTTTTTAACGTTTTGTGTGTTACCTTTGTTTATTAAATATCATGTTCTTCGCCCTTAAACCATAAAATTGAGTTCAACAACAATATCGAAAAATAACTTTAAAATGAGCATATCTTTAGAATTTCCGATACACAGTTCCGCGCGCTGAGATAAAAAGGTTTCCCCCCTCCCCGTAGAGTGTTGCTATTGTTCGCTTTTAAATCATTGAGTTTGTTAATCAAAAATTTGTTAAAGTTTTACAAAATATAAAAGAGATATTAGAACGAATTCCGAATTCCAAATTTGGGCTTCCAGATGCCCGTAATTTGGGTGGAAACGTATATTATTCAAAATTGGATGGCTCTAGGTACCTTTTTTTTGTCACAATGCCAGAACCATATATTCATTTAAGGAGATTCTTCATTAGTTAATTTCTTTATATATAGTATAGGGCGATAATATTTGGTGGCAAAAATTTGAAAAGTAAATCGGACATTTACAGTGAACCCAACGCAAAATGCAAAAACGAAAATAATAATACTTTAGGGAAAATTGCCCCTTTGGACATTTGGGCTAATTTTCCTTTGGGCTAAAATATTAAAAAAAAAATCTGTTTTTGGAATTTCCGATGGACTGTCTCATGCGCTGAAGATAGATATATATATATTAAAAAATTCCCGTACAGGTTTCTCGACATTTTATCATAGATAAAATTCTTTAGATATGATAAAATGTCTAGGAACCTAATAAACTAAGTAGCGAATTATCGCTGAGTTCCAATAGTTACTACAAAGATGTGAGAAGGGGTTAAAATACCTTTTTATTACATCAAAGAAATAATAGCAGATGGTCCATTCTTACAAAGAAAGCCTCCACTCAGGCTTTTAAATCAGGATAAGAAAAATAATAAACTAACTTAATACTAAATTAAATAGACTTAGCCGAAGCTAGACACAAATACCTAACTTAGTTGGCCCTTAAATTAACCTAGCAGGCGATTATCAACAAGCACGAACAATACGGCCGAGCATAACAGATTCAAGAACAAAGTAGCCAGAAGACAAACACGTACCACTAACGACTCTTAAGCACTCTTTCGAAGTAAGTTAAACGTCTTTTAAATACTTCTTCTAATAAATGGGAAACAAGATTTGAAAGGAAAGGGTTTCAAAATTTAAACTAACTATTATAAAACTAAAATACACCTTACACAGTGTTGCCATCGCTCGCTTTGAAATCTTTGAGTTTGTTAATAAAAATTCGTTAAAGTTTTACAAAGTTTTAAATACACAATAAAATATTTAAAAAAGCACATATTTAGAATTTCCGATACAGAGTTTAAAGCGCTAGAGATAAAAATGCTTCTTCCCGCACAGTATTGCCATAACTCGCTTTGAAATCACCGAGTTTCTTAATAAAATTACGTTGAGTTTTATAAAATACGAACTAATAACACAAATTCCAAATTCATGCTTCCAGGTATCCATATTCGAGTGGAGGACTATGTTATTCAAAATTTGATAGCTCTATATATCGTTGTTTTGTCATAACAGGAAAAACATGCATACATTCATGCAGATTCTTCCTCATTTAATTTCTTTAAATATAATACAGGATGATAATATTTGGTGGCAACAATTTGAAAACTGGTTCAGACTTTTATAGTGATTCAACACAAAATCTCGAGTAATAGCCCTTCTGGGCTAACGATCCTTTGGGCTAAAAAATGGGCATCGCTGGTCATACACAATTTGAAAGATACCAGTACCTTAAATTATTACTTTTATTTACTTGTTTAGCTTTTAACAGATGATATTTCTAAAAAGCGAACTACAGGATAGCTATTCCGTTCGCATCTATAGACACTATAAAAGAAATTGTATCTTATAATTAAAAATGAAGTTATCTTCTTCTGCTGCTTGATTAATAATAAAGAAGATTAATTAATCCTTTTTCATCTTTTATCCATTTTGCTTACCTATGCCTTAAAATCAAATTTAAAATAATAAAATTTTTAGTTAAAATATAATCATCCAAAAATTAACTCCTTAAAAGAAGAAAAATATATATTTTTGTTTACCTTGAGCTGCCAAGATATAATTCAGGAAGCAAACGAAGACTAACTTCCCAAACATGTCTGATTCTCTCCGAACTTCTTAAACAAGTATTGCTTCTGAGGAACAAGCAAGAAACTATGAAGAAGACAATGCATCAGATAAGATAATTGAAAAAACATTGCATTTCAAAAGTCAGCGTTATGAATAACAATTCTTTCAAGTACCTTTTAATGGTTTCTTTTCAAGTGGAGTGCAAATGAAAACACAGAGGAATTTATTCAGAGTAACTGGGACTTAATATTCAGGTTAACTGGGATTAACAAGGATTGAGATATATCGATTCGGACATTCGAAAAAAATTGAATAATTGGGTTGGTTATTTTTTTCATTTTGCAGGACAAATATATTTTTAATGTAATGCAAACGATGGAATTTATTATCTTCTATTTCTTATCGTATTTTATCTCAGCAAAGATTAAGCACTTAAAAAATAATACACAGTATACTTAAGGAAATACGATATGTTATCCTCAAAGCTAAAAATTACAATATAAAAAGAAAGTGCAACATAGGCTAGAAAGTAATTTACTTTAATTACGCTGAATACTGCAAGCAAAAAATGCTTATATGAAGAGTAATTGATATTAGTTTTACTTAAAAAAAAAAAAAAAAAAAAAAAAAAAAAAAAAAAAGCATTTGCTACCATCAAGTATACTAAATCACGGAGTTAGTGAAAATCAATAGCCTTATGTAATTAATGCTCAAAGGCTATATTTTAGGGAAATTCACATGCGATACAGGTTCATTAAAATTAATTTAAAAGCTTCTTAATAATCCTTAAATTAATAATAATAATCCTTCTTCTTAAAATATCACGTTTTGTCTTTTTATATAATTTGACTTATAAGTCAGTTTATTTAATGAATGAATAAAGTGATTACAAGATATATTTCACAAAGCCGCAAAAATACCCCTCTTAATGTCTCTTCAATAGTTTCTTTAGACTCACTAATTTTCCATTTGGATGTTAACGCCAGAATTTTCTTTTCTTCTTCCTCTCTATGGCTATGCTTTGAAATTTCAGTATCATTTTTCATTTGGAAAAAGTTATAAGGTATTTTCTCTCTCCTTCCAGCACGACTTCGCGCTGTAGCACACTCGGTGCATATTATGCTCACGAATTAAAAGGTGGTGGACAATAATTCGTCATCACCAAGATTTGGGGACTGGATCCCCTCTTTCCCAGTCGCCGTTTAACATGGGAAGCACATAAGGTATTTTGTTTCTCCTTCCAGCATGCTTTCATGGTGTAACGGTAGCACAGTCGGCACATATTCGAGGACCCCAGGTTCGAGTCCCGGCGAGGGCACTGCCCATTTTTCGCGTCTCCAGGATCAAAATCCCTAATGACTCTGCAAATTATAAATTATTTTTTACTAATTTAAATCTATCAAAGATTTTTCTTTTCGTAATTCAGTTCGTCGTTTCATAAAATATTAATAGTTGTCGTGCAGCCCGGAATTTCTTTTGGATTATTGCAAATGAAATAGATTACTAAATGTTTAAAACTTAAGGAGGAGTGCAGATGAAGCTGCTTTGTCAAAATAATTACCAGAAGCAGCCACACATTGTTGATCTTTGGTTGACAGTTTGATCAATATGTTTAATACATATAGTTGTTCCTTCACTAACGATAGGGTTACAGCTTCGCAAACAGCAGGAAGTTTATTAGGATTTAATTATTTTTATTAACCAGTTATTTTATATTAATCAGCTTTCCTGTCATTCTCACTTTCCTTTTTCCGCTGCCAGATGGTAAATTTTAGTTCGCGCATATTCAAATGAGGTTGAAAGAGATACTATTTAAAGGAAGGTTTTGGATTATTGAATCAGAACATGTTTTGCCTGCTGAAGGCCCCGTTACTAGTTAAATCTCTTGATAACAGTATGTCTGAGACATTTCGTTATTCTCGCCATTTGGATGGTCAACTCCATATTAGGTTTGAGCCACTTTACACGTATTTTCTCTATGTAGCCTTTGGCTAACTTTATTATATTTATCCATAGTTTAATTTAAATTCCTTACGTTTGAATTAAGACATAAATGCTGGCTGGTTTTGTAAGCACAAGAAGTGTCTTCTGTTAAATTATTTGAATTTAATAAAAGGGTGTTTCACACCCTTCTCATTATCTATGTCTTCTTACTTGAACAAAGCGATAATTCGCTTAGCTTTCAGATTTGAGTCTGAAGTAGTTCATGCTTTCAAAGTCTGTGAGACTCTACAAGTAATAAATTCAAAGTATCGTTAATGGAAATTATGTCTAAGCCTCTCAACCTAGATTATATTGACAAGAGCTTCGGAAGACTTAATCTATCCCATAATTAAGCCATATCCTTTCATGAAAGCATATTTTAGGATAGTGTATGAGAAATTTCATGTGTAATGTTCTGTACATACGTACTGGAATTTTATATACAACCACACAGCATATATATGGTAATTTTGTAAAACTCTCTGATACTTATTAGCCCAAAAGGGGCTATTCGTCTCGAAATGGGATTTTGCGTTGGTTCATTATAAACGGCGTATCAAATTGTTACCTCCGAATATTTCCTATATTATTTTTAAAGAAAATAAAAAATTACATAATGAAGAATTTGCATGTATACATATATTCCTAGCATTATAATGACGATACCTAGAGCCATGAAATTTTGAATAACGTAGTCCTCCACTCGAACATGTGGATCTGGAAGCCTTAATTTTGAATTTCGGATTTGTTTTATTATTTTTTATTTAGATGTTTTGTGAAACCTGAATGAATTTTTGGTTACGAAACTCATCGATTTCGAAGCCAACAGTTACCACATAGCTCGAAATAAAACATTTTTGCCTCCAGCGGGCGAGACGGTCTATCGGAATTTCTAAATAGATCCGAAGATCCGTGGTTTTCAGAATATGCAAAGTGAATATGAGCTAGTTAACCCATCCACAAAGGCATTCCCCCTTAAGTATGCTTTGTCATGATCAAATAACGTAACCTAAACAGCACAGATTCTACTGATTGCTTTTGAGTGCGTATTTTGAAATAGCAGTCGACTTTGTCATTAGTCTGTTTTATGTTTTCAACGTAAGTTACGCGAATAACAGAAAACTCATCGGCATGAAAAAGTAAAACAGGCTTATCTTAACTAAATGTTAATCTGACGAAAATTTGACTAGTTTTTTTGAGCTGTATAGCAGTTGCTAATCTTTGTTTACCATGGCAATTATATTATTAGTCATACTTCACAATCACGTCTTTTTTTAATCTTAATATGGATACTGGAATTTACGAGAAACTAATTTTCAGAACAGTTTTGTGACTGATGTATGTATGATAAGTGTACTTCAACAACAGTGTTTTTTTCCTGTTTAAAATTCCATTTTTGTCATGGTAAATCATTTATTTTTCATTAATGAAACATTACGGTATTTTTATCTCCGCAACCCATATAAGTAAAAAAGAGAGGTTATGTTTTCAGGCCAAAAAATTTGATATAGATATTTTAGGGAATAAGCACGAATTAGGACCCCCCCCCACAATACATTTTAACCATTTTTACAATGATATATGTCTGTTTGAATGTATTGTGAGCTACGGTTTTCTTGTCCACAATAACTCTTATATCTAACTCCCGAAAATTCCTGTCCTGCGTACGTAAGCTTTCTGTATTCATATAAAGAGTTGAATAAATTTTGAGTAAAATTTAACACATGGATGTGGTACTTTACCTGAAGCCCATAACAGTTTTTAATCAAAAACTATACTGAGATATAATAAAAAATTTCTCAATTTTAGTACTTACGACTTTTATACCAGTGGAAACCATATATTAGATTTTGAATAAAATTATAAACTAGTACTGATAATTTTTAGATACTACTGATAAAATTATAAATATAATAATACTGATTATATAATAATACCGATAAAATTATAAACTAGTACACTTTTAGTATTTACAACTTTTATATCAGTGGAAACCACATATTAGATTTTGGATAAAATTACAAACTAGTACTGATACTTTGAACAGCTTTTCGTGGGAAAAATATATGATAATACAATCCAAAACTAATCAAATTTGTATTACCATTTATTTCTCTGGAGTTTACCATGCCAAGCGTTTCAGAAAATTTTCTTCACCTGAAATGTTTTCATATACTTCTAACTTTAATTTAAAGTAAAAAATAATTTTTAGTATTTGTTAACACTTAAAAATTTGTACGTCCTGCATGTAATCTAACGTCCATATAAAAATTACTAAGAAAATATAAGCTATCAAACAGATAAAATGTAACACTATGAAATTTTGCCGCAGCTTTGTGCAAACTACAAAGAATACGTAGGCCCATAATCAATACAAATGATCTAAATTCAACTTAGTCACGTGATTAATATGCGAGAGAAAAGAGTAGAAAAAGATCAAATGAGCTTACATTTGCGACTTTTCCTTTTTCTCAACTGAAAACGCTAGACGCAGCTGAAGTACTGTTCGACAAGTGGATGATTTAAAAAGACGTTTTTAAGTTTACTTACTTTTGGATAGTCATACCATCGTACCGTGGTTGATTCGTCTATTGCACATGATTTGACGACAATGGATTGAAGAAGGAAATGTGATAAAAATAATAATTATCGTCCTGATTGACTAGTCCACCGATGAGAAAGATTACATTCGTGTAGAGACTGAACTTTGTACAATGAATCAGACAGTATTTTAATACTGTCCGATTCTGTCAGTATAATTTGTTTAATACTGTTTGATTGATGTCTGGAGCCAAGATACGGACATTTCCAAATTTTATTTTTGATGTTGGAAGCCCTTCTCTTTGTCAACGTTGCTTATTATGGTGTAATCTGCCATGAGCATCAATAGAGGTTTCTTCTAGTTCGCATAAGAAATACAGTAACATCCTGCTTAACGTTGTTTCGGTTTAACGCTCTTTTATTTTAATTATGGGATTCCCCGAAATTGTACGCAGCGTTAAGCCAAAGAACGTCTATGTAAAGCAGGAAAGGTTCCATAGACGGTGACATTGAACACTCTGACGATATGAATGAATTAGTGGAATTAGCGAAACAAACCGGTTTAGATGAAGTAAATGTGGAAGATGTCGAAGAAATAGTGCAAGAAACAGCAGCAAGTCTTTTTAATGATGAGCTCAAGGAATGAGCGGACCGAGAAGAACACAAAAAATATTGAAAGTAGTGATTCTGAAGAAGAGCAAAAAGAACTTTCAACAGCGTTTCTAAAATCCAGTTTGACCCTATAACAGAAATTATGGACCAATTTATTGAAAATGATCCAAATTTTGACAGGAGTTCAAAAGGACGACGGGG